ACCAAGTTATCTTTTTTTCAAATAAAAAATAAAGGAAAATACAGAAAGAATCATCTTATTTATTTTGTTACACTGTCAGATAGAAAGAGAAGATTGATTTAATTTTTTTATAAAGACTACATCAGGTTTTGAGGTGGAAACGACCTAAGCTAGCAAAAGCATTGTAAACAAGACTTCACTGAACTGAATAAACGCAATAGTTTGTGCCTACTGAATAGTACGCAATTACAGTTTTACACAATACCAAAATGGCCACCACCATATCTGGTGAACGGTAGTACTAGTCAATACAGACAACAATTCATTTTTTTAATAAAAACGATGTAATTGTTTTCATTAAAATAGGGGTTTGTGGAGATTGAAGTATGTTTAAAGTTAATGAGTCAGTCTAATATGGAATATCATTGAAAATCTGAAATCCCTGGGCAGTTGTTCTCATCCCAGTACGAAACTCCTCAGCAGTGCACATCCACCATCTCGCACATGAGACATGAACCTAGGACCTTTTATCTCGCGCACGAACGCTTACCTGCTAGACCACTGAGCCGGCACCCAGTGGTTTTTAGTTTCCGACTATTTTCATTAAGGACTGTAAATAGTCAGGAGGTAACATAGACATTTAAGCGGAAACTAGTCAACTTTAGTCTTAGTGAGCATATTAAAATTAAGACATACCATCTAAGAAATCCGAGATAAAATTAAACACTCTTCTACTGCTACCCAAAATAGCTGGTATATTTATTTATTTAAACACATAAACATTTCTACAAGAAAGCATCAAATAAATATGCGCCACACAAATCATTCAATATATGTGAGGGCTGGAATACTGCCCGGGAGTCCAAACCGAAGCAGGTATATATTGTGAATATATTTCTACCGTTTATTATCAGTGTGTAGTATAGAAGCAATTTACCATTGTTGAGAATTTTCTTTGAATTAAGTAACATTTTAATAGCGTGTAAAGGAACGATAAATGTCATGGATTCACTGAATTTGTAAAACATCAAACTATGAAAGTCAGTTTAGAATAATACAACTTCCATTATGCAAAGCAAGAACAACAAACACTATAGAAATTTACGTGAATTTATCTTTTTATTTTGTCTGCCCTAAATCTTCTACATACACACTGATCAAATAAACAAATGATACATTTTGAAATTTATTTCCTTATGTAACTAGTAAAAAGTCGTTTGATTTATTAATGAATCATAAATTTAGTTACTTTTCATATGCATAAAACTTCATTTTATAGATCAAAGAAATAATTGAGGAAGATAGAGACCATGACGTACAAGAAACATATGTTAACTGTTATAATTAAGATTGAAGAAGCGATTAAATTGATGGTAATTATTAAAAAGACGTTCTTACACCAATCAGATTATTGATGATAATAATGATAATAACAGTCTGTATGGGTATTGGATATTATTAAATTTTATTGAAATCCCGAACCAAAGTAGACAGCCATTAAAAACATACAAGCATTAGGCTGCCTCTTTGTCTTAGTATTAAACTCTCCAGCAGCGCGCATCCGCGATCCCACAGGCAAGACTCGAAGCCAGGACCTTCGGTTTTGCGGAAGCGCTTAACATCCAGACCACTGAGCCGGCATCTAATGGTGTTAGTGACTAACTTCAACCTATCTATGGCCATCCTGTTTTATCTGAATGAAGAACAAATGAATGGCGATTATTATTACATATATTCTTATTGGATAATAATTAAGTAACTATATTACATATATCAATAGTTGAAATCATGAGTCAATTGAACCTAGACCACTATGGAAAACCTGGAAGCACTGGACCTTCGTTTCATCCTAGTATGTCCTCAGCAGTGCGCATTCACGATACCGCCCCCTCGAGATTCGAACCAAGAATATATCAGTCTTGCGCGCGAGCGCTTAAGCATTAGATCATTGAGCCGGCATCCAATGGTGATAATATCTAACTTCAACCAATCCACGAAGTTGAGCCACCGTACACCATTGTCTTCAGTGAGTTGATATCTCGGGGTGCGGGATCGTGTATGCGCACTGCTGAGGAGTCACATACTAGGAAGAAACGACCGTCCAGTGCTTCCAGGTTTTCCATGGTGGTTTAGCTTCAATTGACTCATGATTTCAACCATTAAAATTTCTGAAAATCTCCACAAAACCCATTCTGATATTACATATATCTTTATATTCCTACTATCATGAGGTATCACTTGACCTGTGGACTACTATAATACGATTCACTATTCTCAGTTTATTCTCAATTTGTTATTTACAGTCTCTTGTACTCACAGACACTTTTGGCTCGATCATGTATAATTAATATTATTCATTTTATTGTAGGATGCGGTCTAATTTACTTGTATATGAACGACGTATGTCTGAAATGTATGATTCACACAACGGATGATGATATTTATTTTCTGAACTAATCAGGTTGAGCTAGGCGAGAGGTTACTATTTTCACGACCACTAAGGACTCAAAGTTGAGTCAAGGCTGCTGGTACTGATTGACGTGTAATTGGTATAACATGGAGACAAGGTCATAGAAATCAATGTTCTTATTAATGATTTTGTCACATGATATTTAACGGGCCACAAAACATAACACGTAAAGTGCTATTAGATTTTCAATGTTTGTCTAACATAGATCAGTTGATTTCAATAAGAATATTGAATAGCCTGAAAATGTATTTAAAACTTTCTTTATAGTAGAGTGCAGTAAATGAACACAAAGCAATGTATATCATTACTTCTAGCTAATCCTGTTCTACCTGAGTGATCCCTTTTTCATCTACCTCATTGTTCTTTGTCAATATAAATTAGAAACGACAAGTTATGAAGAGAATGACAAAAAAGTTAAGAAATCAAATTTTGATGAATTTTTAATATCGCATGACTAGGGAAGTATAGTCATATCGTGTTTAAGGCTTGCACCGTCGATATTAGTAAATGATAATCACATAATGTCTCAAATCGTTTCAGGTTCAAAATATGAACCAGAATATAGAGATTTTGAATCTAATCTCTGATTCAGTTGAGAATGCTCACTACTGATTGCTTCATATTTAACCATAGAAACCACCTTTTTTAGTTATGCAAAAAAATACATTGGTTTTTTTCATTAAAATCACTTTATAGATCATTAAGGCGAACACAAATTTATGCAATTTCAATAATACGCTTTTAATCATTCAGTTTTAACTTATCTGATTTTATTTTTAAAAACAAACATGTATATGAATTAATGAATGAAATTATTTTAAACATTTTTATTTTACGCTTTGTTTTTGTATTAAAAGTCACAGAAATAGCTCAATGTGTTTGCGTGACTTCATTTGATTACTAACATTTTTAACTTTTTTAAAAAAAATTCAGAAATCCATTTTTTTGTGTTTTCAATACTCTTTGTTAATATATTCTCTTTTTGTTTATTCAGCAAGCAGTTTTTTTATTTAAAATCAATGTGAAATACAAATAAATGAACGTAAATCTGTTCGCTCATATATATATATATATATATATATATATATATATATATATATGCAGTAAACATGTTATAGATAGCTAGGGAGCAAGATTATTGTTTTTTCTTTGCAACGTTTATATATTTTAAAGCTTTACTTTTTGTTTTTTTTCGCTAGTCACATAATTAAATAATTCGTTTTACTTAGCCTCATTTTTTTAAAAAGAGCAATCCATTTTAATACATTTAATCGCTTAATCAGTTATGCAAATAACTAACATTTATTTTAATCAAATAATAATTAATAATCTGTTTTATGATAAGCTTTAGTTGTTTATATATATATATATATATTTCCTTGAATAATTTATGAATTCATGTAAATACAAACGATGATAATAATATTTATATTGAAAGTTTTAAATGGATATTTGGTAGATATAAATCATAATGATATAATGTTTTCCTTTTTCTTTTTCTAAAACAGAATATCATTGTTTCTTTTTTTATTTACTTTGTATTTTATTAATTTTTTTATTCATCCTAATCATATTGTTTTACTGTTTTAAAATTGTACTTTTGAAGAAGTAATAGTAATTCCGATTATGTTATGTTCATATTATAATATCCAATAAAAAAAATCAACCAATCAAATTCAAGTAATTGATTAAAAATGCCTATAAATAAATCAATATTTTAAATGATTTAAGAATATACACCGATATACATTGATTTATTATTCCCAATATAAAGTAATATTTCTTATAATTATCCTATTTTTTGTTTTTCAATGTTGTTTAAATCTAAAAAGCACATCTTAATTAAATCATTTTAATTATACTTTTTTTCCGTTTTTTCTTAAGTAAAATTGTAGTATTGGAATGAACCAGTTAAAATCAGGAAGATTTGCGCGTTTCCCCGATAGAGTCTGAGATACATGTCTTTGATCTAATATCACATCAAACAGCTAGTAGATATACTTTTGTTTGCTTGTTACAATTTGTAAAATGACGACACGGAATTACTTTTTGCTATCATAGAATATAATCGATAACATTATATGCATATAGTATGCAAACTAACCCTTTCCTTAAATAATAGCCCTAAATACTTAGTAGTTAACACATAACCTTAAATCTGTATTCGTAACAATGTGCAAACTCGTAGAAATCCATGTGCATCCTTTTAAATGTTTCGAAAGACAGATAATCTATACTTGTATAAATCAACCTATATATCTATGTTTTTCTTAATTAAAAATAAAACAACCTGTTAGAAGTTCTAGTGGATTGATTATTTATGTAAAATCTGTCTATCTTTTATAATGTTACTGTCCATTTAAAAAAACAGCTGATTTACTAGAGCTCTTTCTTGACTGACTGGCAATTTGTTGAAATGCGTAACAGTTGTTTTTTGATTCATTCCTACACTGTAATCCTATATTAATCAATTTTAACACTGGATAAGTCATTTTTGTCGCTCTATTTATTATGAGGTTATAAAATAATACAGAAAACCACCTTTACTTACTATCTGGTGTTAGATTGCCAGTTGGAATAGAATCAAATACGGTTGTGATGTTATATCTGTAAGACAAACAAACAGACGGTTGAAATTAATAATAGCTAGGAATTTCGAATAAAATTAAACTGATAAAATTTGTTAATACTAAAGGTTTTTTACCGAGCAACTTAAAATGATAATAAAATACGAAAACTACTTTGACTGGAAAGTGATGTTTTGTTTGAGCTGAAGTTAAATTTAAACACAGAGTTTCTGCAAACTGTTGAAAAAATAAGACTAAAAAATTTGATGGTATTAGATAACTGAGAGAGTAAGTGATCAATTATTTAATTAAAACTAAGGTATTTTCGTGAATAAAATGTATAAGATAACTCTCTTGAAAACCTTGAATTTTTGTGAAGCAAGTAAATTATTTTTAAAAAATATTTCACTGATATCTTCTCATGAGAACTTTCTATAAATTTTCGAAGCTGCAAACTTTGAACGCGCCCAAAGATATTCATGTATGTAACTCATCATGAAGACCCTCGTTGAGTGAGCTCCAAACTTTCTTCATTGAAAGGCTAAAGTTACGATCTTTTTTCCTTCAGTATTTATTTAAGTCGTTTGGCCGAGATATGAGAAGCATCGAGGACCATTAGTTGAAAAAATAAATCATTGTCACATTTTTGCAGCAAACTAAATTGGATTCCATGTAGTTATTGTGATGCAACTCAAATTTGTCTAGATACTCACCTTCAAATGTATTTAATCGTCAGCTTGTTAACATCTCTTTGCAAAACAACCACTCTTTAACAAATGCCGTTACACCAGGAAGTTATATGCTTAGCAGGTCTACACTGAATAAAAAACATCCTTATTATTATTATTATGAAATGGTCAATAGATATTTAGTATGAATATAGTGTAAAGTTTACGATTGATAGAAAAACAAAACTAGAGCATCATTCCATCGACATGACAGATTTTGGAACTGATTACTAGTCATTATTTCAGAGATTGTGAATAAATAGGCTGCATGCAATTGAAAATAGAGATTTTTAGAAACAAGGAATGCCTCAATGAACAGCTGTTTTCAGTAACTTCATTATTAATCAATTTCAGAATGTACCGTATAACATAATGCTTACTTCAGTCAAACTGGAACGAAACATAATGTTGATTGCTAGCTGATTTTATTCATTCTATAAAATCCTTATAGTTAATGCTAGGTTATCTCAAATTATCCCAAATATTTCCTCTAATCCAAGGTAGTAATTATTATATAGCATTAAATGTTAAGCATTGGATCTTGATTTAAATGAAATCAACTGTAATTAAACGACTAACAAAAAGGAAACGTTTATGATTTTTTTAAAATATCTAAATCAGACTTTAATTATAAGACAAGATAATAATTGAAATAATATCAATCATATAAGCTTAGAAAATGATTACCGAACACCTGTGGTGATGTAATTAAAGATAGTAGTTTTAATAGAAACTATTGTTGGATTACTAAATAGAAAAATGTTCGTTAGACAAAAAGGGAATGATTATAAAATTTTCGTAAGACATCGATTTTTTTCTCATGATTATAAACAATGGTTAGCAGTATTTCAGCAATAAAATTGAAATTACTAAGAGGTACTAATTTCAAATGAAATTCGATTCAAATAAGTGAAAGACGTTTGTTCAACACACTGTTGCTGATGTTCAGGACTGAATCGGAATAGTCTACTCAGGTATTTGAGATATTTGAGTGGTTTTCATAACATTCTCTCTAGTTATATGTTGATAATATTTTGCATGTTGGCTATCAATCAAAACCAAGACTTAGATATCATTTGATTTAGAATGAAGGTGGAAAAATAACTGACTAATTTTCAAAATAAAAACATGAGAAATCGAGTGAATTTGTGACTTTAATCAATATATAACGAGAAGCTCACTCAAGGAGCTCATTGTGGCCTGCTTAAATATCTGGGCTACCTGTTCCTGCCGTCTGGATATTTCAACAAGTTATCTGTTTTCTTGTTTGTTTTAATACATCATTATGCCTATTAGTCTCATAACCTATTCAGGTGCGTTTGTGAAAAGTTTATGACATTTCGCTGTACGAGTTACAAAAAAGCTCAATCAGTGACATCATGGTTACTGGCAGTATGCATCGAAAAGGATATACATTTATCAGATGTCGATTCCTGAACCACTGACATCTAACTGGCGACCACTCAATATATATAGCAAGAACTGATCAAGAAATAAGAAAGGGAGACTTGTTGAAATACTTTGTGCTGAGAATTCTATATTGTACCAAAAATATAATATTGAATAAAGCCACTAATAATAATAATATTCCACGAAAGACGTTTATATTGTCACGAAACTACTAGTCAACTTCATATAACTCTTAATATAAATTATTGTAACCGTAATTAGTACACTGTACTGGTATTTTAAAAAAAGTATCACCTTAAAATAACACAAATCAAAGTCAAAGAATATAGGGTTAACAATCTGTTGTTCGGTCATAAATTTCACTTCCAAGATAGAAGTTCAATGAGTGATCAGAAAATGTGGCATACACTGTTTACGTAACAAAATGTTGATGTGACTAGTAAATTTCAAACAAGTGACCATTATATAATTATATATTTTTACTCGACTTCTAACCTTAAATTTTGTTCGCTACATTATCCTTCAACTTCATAGTCGTACAATCATTGCAAGATATTCATATGATTGATTTCAGTGTTTTGTATTTTTCACACTTATTTTCACTTGTTAAGATATCAGTGTATTTGAGTTTTAGACGAATGTATTTCAACCTATTTAATTCTCATATAACTGTAAAGTCTCACGTAGTTATGTGTTCATTTGTAAAAAAAAACAGCTGTCCACAAATAAAACCCTAATAAATGTATCACACACATTTGTGAGCACTTAAGAAAAAAACTCCCGATTTAAGTAACATGCAATTTTGTACTAGTCAGCTATTAGTATTTCCAATCCTCAGCAAAAACGATGTTTGTGGTAGGACTTCATCCATTTTTCATAGTCAAAGATATTATCGTTATTCCTTTATCCACAATCTAATATTGTATACAATGTTTTTAATTGGTAGAATTTATAAATAAAAAAATAAGGGCTGTTCATTTGATGATAAATGTGCTTACTTATTTCTAAAAATGAAATTTTTTGGAGCATTTAAAATTCAACTAATTGTTTCCTTTTAAAAAAAATAAAACATCATTCATTATACATTGATTTATTTAATTTACAGTAAAAAGAAAAACAAACAAGAAAACAAACAAACTAGAAACTAATTCTCATGATTAAATTTCTACTAATAATATACTATATTAACTATGAAAATAATTTTAATCTGATCAATTTTCAACTTTCAATGTCAATTTTTTTTTTTTTTACTTACTCTAAAATTGCATATGATTAATGTTATTACTTGTTTGTTTGTTTTTAGTTATATTTAAACGTTTGTCAAATTATTTTTATTTTCATCTAATAAATTAACTATCTGGTTTTTTATTTGAAATATGTTTTAATGATAAACGCATTTATGCACAATATAAACAAAAATAATAAGTTAAACTCTTATTTTTAACTTAGTATAGTAGTATAAGTAAGTTTTATCCTGTGGTTTGATGTTTTCCGAAATTAAAATGAACAAGCTATATATATATATATATATATATATATATATATATATATTACTCTCCTCACAGCGTCCTTTAGTCACTGAGTGTTTTCATCGATTACCTACTTATTTGTAAGCTCATGGTGTATACTTATATTCACTTGAAATGCTTACATGATATATATATATATATCTTCTCATATATGCCATGTCATGCAGTCAGCCTGATGATTCAGTCGCTCATAAGTAAACTTGTTTTGTGTAAAATTTATCAAAATTAGAAGCTATTGATTGTGGTTTGATTGACAGGATGAAGTTATAGAGAATCGCATCAGACTTTACTTGGCATGATGATTCTAACTTTTGTTTAAGTAAATTTAAATGCCAGTGATACGTACAATTGGATAAAAATGCCTCTTATGTATTGTCAAACTAAAGGTTATCCTGCTGTCTTCGTACTCTTGATTTAGTTCTGTATTATTTCCACAGCCTACTAGTAATTAAGATGTAGTTCTGATATATTTTCATATATCTATAGAGTATTTTCTTAATTTCCATGACTTTTATTTTAATATCAATTTCCAATGTAATAACAGATTAAAATATATCAGATATCATGGGTAAACTGAGACAAACGTTTGAATAATCAAAAAGTGGGTGATATAAAAGTTTACAAAATAGAAAATTGACTATTCACTGAGTAGTTAACACTGTCATCTCTATCGGTTCCTCTAGTCCTAACATACTTCAGTTTGGCCACTAGTTGAAATCACTGAGCATCTCATGAATAATTTTGATATGTTACGTAGTGTGAGATAGTAAATAGGAAACAGTAGAATTCAGTTTGATGCTGGTTGACACCCGCCAGCAAGGTATATCTGTAGTTGTTTATTAACTGCAAATATCTCAGCCCTATGGTAGATCAGTTTCTGCCCGAATAGATCAGCAGTAATATTTTATGCTATGGTCGACTCAGGTTCGATTCAGCATAGACTCCTATTAAACACTAATGTTCGGGGATTCTTGTAAACTCCTTCTAACCGCCCTATCCGAGAAATAGACTGTATATCTTTCAGAGTTATAAAAATACAGATTTTTCCGTATAAATTCATACAGTTTTATTAACGACAGTTTAATTTGAAATGGTTACTCTATTTTACACTATAATATACTAAAAAATCTGTTGAAAATTTATTTACAGCTTAGCTGCTTATCATATAGTAACCGGTTTTGTTTATCCAGAATGCATACTAATTTACAACTGCTAAGCATAATCAGTACACTTTAACATCCTCCCTACACTACTTCTTCAGAGAAATGAATTCAAAGGCATATCACACTTATATTGAAAAGAATCTGCAAATTAATAATGGAAATCTTAAAGCTATGATATATTTATTTCATGTGACTATTTAACGAATATAT